AAAAAAAAACAACACTGTCCTGTTGCTGCTGTTGCGTCCACTGCGTTTGCTGATTCTGTTGCTGATAAAATTGCTGAGGGTTACCGCCCATCATGCCCATCTGTGCCGGTACAATCATCTAAGGAACAAGTAAGGAAGTCTAATGGTAGTTCAACTAGTGATAGCTTAACACGTTTGACGACCGTGTAGTATGATGTCATACCACACCTTCGCATTGAGCCGACTAGTTTTTCCTTATTTATTTGGCGTTTTTTCCTGTTCCACAACGGTCCATGTACATTATTGGATCCAAAAAACAATTTTTTCATTCACTGATAATGAAAACGCTGAAGTATTAATGCTATTAATGAGAGAATAGGAAAAATGTTGAAGCAGTACGCGCACAACGGCGGTCGTCAACGTGTTAAAATATTCAAGTAGATGTGTGCCTAACAAAAAGTAACTTCACACCACCTCTTCATATTCATATCACTTATCAATCTCAGAAAAGGACAGACAAGGTCTGAGCGAGATTTTCTTGTGCAGGTCTTCCTAATAACCTTTTTTTTTCATATAATCCGCACTTTCATACTCCGAATTTCAGAACGATTATCTTCAACTTAGCCTCAAGGGCAATGGAGTTAGAAAAACACGAACTTCAAAACAGCATTCACAGAGTACGGAGGGTTGTGAACAAATGTAGGCAAAATCAGTTAGAGCTACTGACAGCTACCAACATACTTTGCTCTATTTTTTTACCTTCATAAAATTTCAAAGGGATTAAGCTGCCACCTAGTACAACAGATAGCACAAAAACATCACGAAGAAAAAATAAAGCTTTTTCAACCCAATAGCAGCGTCCCTGGATAGCACCCACTTGTTGGCCCATTATGGGCTGTTGCTGCCCCATCATTTGTTGCTGCTGCTGCTGCACTTGCTGCTGGTTCATCATTTGTTGTTGTTGTTGGTGTTGCTGTTGTCCCAACATTTGCTGTTGTCGGACATACATTCCCGGTGAGCCATCTCCTTGTCCATTGGCACCTGTGACCATCATTTGCTGCATGTGTAGAGCACCTATAAAAACAGATACATTCATAAAAACCACTGCGTCCACTAAGCTGTACTATAACGATGGAGTACTTTAAAAGGAAAACAAAACCAAAATTATAAATAGCCGCTAGAGAAATTTCGCAACTGTTTATTACGTTCACCATGGTGACTGCGACAATAAAGCGCCCATGACTAGGGAAGCTAATTTCCCTAAGCAAAAGACGAACTTCAATACATGGTGTAAATGTACACATAAAAATATAAAATGTTTAAAATGTGTATATATCTTCGTAGCGCATCGTGCATGGCTTTTCTAGTGCAGAAATATTTGAGAATCCCACGTGATGGAAAATCTAGCATAAAGAAACGTTCAGTGGCAGTTCCAAAGTAAACTTGTTTTCTCTAAACAATGGCTGTGGTACGTATCTTTGTCCCTATGTATTTTAAAATTGTAACAATACTTTCAGGATTTTCAGGGACCCTTGCTGATTTCAGCAAACTGCGTCTCTCCTTGATGTCACATTACCAAGCTCTGACGAACAGTGGGAAAACTATGCACCAAAATCCGAAGGGAATCTGAGCCGTTTCGGGAATTCAGGATGTGTTGAAAGAAGGGAAGTTGAGCTCTTTAAGGAGCCAGTGGTTCAAAAATCCCCTACATCTCTGCTTTGAGAATGCACAAGTATGAGAGCGAGTCCCAGTAGTGGGACCTTTCCAAAGATTAATCAAATTAACGCTTGGTATAAACTCCTTACAAGCGGGAAAACATCTGAATACATACGCAATTCAATGAGTGCCATCTAACCATAAGCCACCTTACCTGGGCTTTCCGGTATCCCTTGC